TAGAAATGAGCCAATATTTATATTCGTCAGCTTTCAGCCAATCCATTGGGTACATGTGTTTTGACTGAAGCCCAAGAAGCTAGAATGGCCATCTACATGTGGTTCACCCAAGTGGCTTCATGCTTCACTCACCTCCTTCCGCCACTTTAGTGGTTGTTTCGGTTGTGAATTTTTTGGCATATATCTGAGTTATCTTGAAGACTCCAGCGGTGAAATCTCCAGCGCTCTGAATTAAATGCATGGGCCATACAATGACTTATTATAAAGTATGCAAATGGGAAAATGTGAGCTGTTACAATGTATACAGTATGGATGGGTAATCCCACCTCCACCTTATACTGGTAAGGTTGGTAAAACTAGAGGGGTTTGGGCTTTTCTTTCATTTTCATAATTCTTCTACTAGGAAAACACCGGGGCCCATTTATAGGCTTACATTTACTCGGTAGACTTTGGCTAAGGGCAGACATGAGACGGGGCCGAATCGGCAACAACACTTCCCTCCAAAAGTCCGGTCTCCTAAAGATCATTCCATAATTTGTAACAACTTTCTCTGCCGAGAAAAACAAAATGTGTAACAGACCCAAATGATGGCCAATTAAGGCCTTCTAGGTATAGGAAATGTAATTTGTATCTAGGGTTGACCCTATAATGAGGAATTTTGAGGCTATTGCCTCAGACGGCATCTCTTTGGGTCACATGGGGGACATGGCAGCTCTGCTGCACAATGTGTGCAGTGTGTCTGATGCCCCCTTTCTGTCCAGAGTGTCCCATGTTGCTAAGGACCAGGTGGGGAGATGTGTAAGGACAATACACATCTCCCCGCCCAGCTCATAGCAACCTGGGTAACCCTGGCCGGCATCCTGTCCAGCTCCTAGCAACCAGTGATGTCACTGGGTGGGACGCCAGCCACAGTGCCCCATGTTGCTAAGGGCCAGGTGGGGAGATGTGAAAGGATCATACACATCTCCCCGCCCAGCTCATAGCAACCTGGTTAGCCCTGGTCAGCATCCTGCCCAGCTCCTGGCAACCAGTGATGTCACTGGGTGGGACTCCGGCCAGAGTGCCCCATGTTGCTAAGGGCCGGGTGGGGAGATGTGCAAGGGCTAGGGAAGCACCGATACCGATACTAGTATCGGTGCAGAGTATTTGGGCGAGTACTCGTACTCGCCCAAATGCTCCGATGCCTAGTCCGATACTTCCTGTATCAGGAAGCCGGCTCCATGCTCCCTCGTCACTTGTGTAATGACGCACTGTCCGGCTTCCTGATTGGCCAGCTTCCCGACCAATCAGGAAGCCGGTCGCCGTTTAATGACGCAATGCCCGGCTTTCTGATTGGCCGGGAAGCCAGCTTCATGCTCCCGCATCACCTCATGACGAGGGAGCATGGAGTCGGCTTCCCAGCCAATCAGGAAGCTGGGCGCGCGTCATTACACGGCGCCAGGCTTCCTGATTGGCCAGAAAGCCGGCTCCATGCTTTCTCGTCACATAGTGACAAGAAGCATGGGGACGGCTTCCCTGCTTATCGGGAAGCTGGGTGGTGAGTCATTACACGTTGCTTGGCTTCCCAGCTAATCAGGAAACAAGGTGGTGAGTCATTACACGCCTCCTTGCTTCCTTAATGGGGCTTCCGGTATCGATAATCGGTATCGGTGAGTACCGCAAAAAATATATCAGTACTCGATACCGAAATACCGGTATCGGTGTATCCCTAGTAAGGACTATACACATCTCCCCACCCAGCTCGTAGCAACCTGGGTAGCCCTGGCCGGCATCCTGCCCAGCTCCAGGCAACCAGTGATGTCACTGGGTGGGACGCTGGCCAGAGCGTCTTAGGTTGCTATGAGCCTGCAGAGGGCAGCGTCCCCAGCACCATTCTGCACCCCCTCCACTCGACTGCCTGCACCACCCCCTGCCTCAGACGGCAATAAAGCAAGACCTTGCCTTATTGCCGCCTGAGGCAGGGTGTGTATTGTATGCATGCCCCTGTATGTATTGCTTAAGACTGTGCAATGGGATAAGATGCTACTGGTAGAACTTGGCTGAAATTTTCCAGTTCTTGGGCCAGATTTTTCTGGTGTTGTCCATTTAAGAACAATTCTTAGATGAAGAAACATTTGACCCACTGAAGTATATTTCCTAACATGGTGCTATGTTGGCAAGTGATGCGCCCAATTCAAGTATCGCTAGAGATGATTGGCCAAGGAATAGATGATGTAGAGGCCCCCCTATGAGGCGATAGCAAGCACTATGACAGGGAAATATTCATAATTATACACAGGCGGTTAGCACAATTCTTTCCTCCACTTCTCTATGGAGACAATAGCAAGTTGCAATGTACACAACTCTACTCCACATCAATCATGGGTGGGAGATCGCAGTAGGTGCCCTTAGTCAAAAAGTTGGGAGGATATACACATGTTTCTGGATTAATGAGATGAGCAAATAAATAGAAAATAAAAAAAAAGGATGACCGAGATCTGCTGGATTTTTTATAGCCCTCTAATCCGGTCACTTTTGTATTGCTCAGCCCATGCTAAGTAAAAAGCCATGCGATGACCTCTCTAGGAGTATAATAGAGTCCCCTATTGGGAAAATGCATCACATTATTCAACACATTATTCCAAAAACCGCAGAAGCTCTGCTGTTGGCTGACTGTCCCATTGAGCAGGTTTCCCAGGTAGAAAATGGCCCAGTAAGACCTCTAGGGGACCTGCTTGAAGGGAGCAGATCAGATCAAACAGTGGACCAAGCAAAACTCACAGATGACTAGCTAGCCACGAATCTGTCAGATTTTGGATCAACAAGCCAATTTACACCTCTTCGTGCTCATTGGAACATCTATCCGTCTGACCATGACCTATGCACACTCAAGCTGCAATACCATTTTTCACCACCGTGGCACTGCTAATGAAATCTGAGCATGTGGATATCAGAAATTAGAAATTGATAGGACTAGAATAGTGGTGGTCAACTTAAGAGAAACAGAGGGACTCAACTGTGGCTTCTGACATCACCAAAGCACTAAAGATATTATTTAGAATATGAAATGCTATAGAAGACTGTCAGTGATTGCAAACATGTAACAGGAGTGATTAGAGGCTATGGGCATGCTGTAGGAGGCAGTCATAGGCTGCGGACATCTTAAAGGAAAAGGTCAGAGACTGCAGACATGCTACAGGAGATGGTCAGAGATGCAGGCATGCTACAGGAGATGGCCAGAGACTGCAGGCATGCTACAGGAGATGGTCAGACACTGCAGGCATGCTACAGGAGATGGTCAGAGATGCAGGCATGCTACAGGAGATGGCCAGAGACTGCAGGCATGCTACAGGAGATGGTCAGACACTGCAGGCATGCTACAGGAGATGGTCAGAGATGCAGGCATGCTACAGGAGATGGCCAGAGACTGCAGGCATGCTACAGGAGTGATGCTATGGGCATGCAGTAGGATGCAGTCATAGGCTGGGGACATCTTAAAGGAAAAGGTCAGTCAGAGCAGACATGTTACAGGAGATAGCCAGAGACTGCAGACTTACTATAGGAGTGATTAGAGGCTATGAGCAAGCTGTAGAAGCCAGTCAAAGCTTGGGGACAATTTACATGAGACTGTTAGAGACCATCGCTCTTATTGGCACTTTACCAATCAGTTTTCCTATTGCTGACTGCTGGGGTCCAATGGCTGCACAAGTATCAAAGGGTCACATGCGACGCAGGTTGGGCACCAGGGGACTAGGAGAACCATTCTTTGCTGTGTTGCTCGTGTCAAATATTGGCTCCCTTTCATTGACAAAAAGGAGGTCCCCCACAAACTCCTGTACCAATCAAATATGCAGAAAATATATTGCAATAGTGCAGCTTATCCAACTTCCAATAAGAGAAAAAAAATTATTCATCTGCTGCTGGCATATGCAAAGCAAAGAAGAACATACATGCTTTTGGACACAGATGCATTCCTGCATTCCTTAATAAAAAACATCCAAGGCACAAAACCAACACTAAACAAAAACATAAAAACTATAAATATATATATATCTATATCTATATATATATATTTATTCAAAAAAAAAGTGTTGCCCCCTGCAAGGCGTTTGTCCAATCCAGTTTGCGCAAAAATCCCTCAGCTGGTTTGAGTCCGCGGCTTGCTGGAGGTGCCGCGGATCGTTCCGAAGAGTCTGTAAAAAATAGTCTGTAAAAAGCTGCCTTCTTTTGGACGTGGTGTTTTTTGCATTAAAAATACTACATTCATTTTCTAAATATTTTTTTTGACAGCCCAAAAAAAATATTTAAAAAAAAAAGTTCACTAAAATTCTGTACATCAGCAGGTTCCAAAAGAAAACCCAGGGGCGGAAAGACAGAAATTTTGGCACTTTCGTAAAACGCAGTCCTAAATTTAGCGTGCTCATTTCGCAGTCGCCCTCCAGGATCCGATATCGGCGCGGTAGAAAAAGCAAGTCTGCGAAGGAAAAAAGGAAAGTTCGCTGTGTCAATGTCAAGGAATAAAAAGATCCTCACCCCCTCCCTACCCCCCCTTTGTTGATTGCATGGGTCTCAGTGAGGCTTCTGATTGGAAGATGCTGTGTCACATGGTTCTAACTGAACTCGTAAAATTCCAGTCTTGTGAAGTAACCAGAGCTGCATGAACTCCTCTGGCATGGAGTGGAACCCCGTCATAGGAGGAACGTCGTCATAGTAATGGTGTCTGATGGGTTTCCCTTTCAGGTCGGTCTGAAAGGGCCAGAATCCGTAAACAGTGACTTCCTCGCACAGGCTTAAGGCGGCGCTGACCATGAAGAGGCCCGTCGACAGGCGCTTGGAGTGGACGCCCTTGGATTTCCAGAACTTCCCGATGTTGCGCAGGAAGTTGGGGTTGGCGAAGAGAACAGTCTGGTTGGTGCTGAAGTCGGCCAAGGTGTAGTAGACGCGAAGCGAGGGATTCGTTCCGTGTCTCATGGAGAAGGCTGGCATGTAGACGTAGCTAGACTTGTACACCTTCAGACTTTCCACAAATGATTTCCGGGACCACAACAAGCTCTGGAATCTGAAAAGAAACATTTAATAAAAAATTATACTGATTCCCATCACTAGCTTAGAGATAGATAGATAGATAGATAGATAGATAGATAGATAGATAGATAGATAGATAGATAGGACAGACAGGACGATTAAGCTATTAATATGAAAATCAGGAGCCTGCAGAGATCCAATCCAGAAGTCTGCAGGATTATTTTTAGGATCCACTGACAACTAGAGTAGACCTCAAAAGTATGGGCATTGGCTACCTGGCTCAGCGAAGGGGGAGAGAGAGAGGAGATGGGGGGAGAGAGAGGAGATGGGGGGAGAGAGAGGAGATGGGGGGATGACAGGATAGACAGATAGATAAACATGAGATAGATAGATAGATAGATAGATAGATAGATAGATAGATAGATAGAGTCAGCAGGATTGGTTTAGGATCTTCACGAATAGCAACTAGAGATAGACTCAAAAGTTAGGCGCCATGTGTAATTTTTATGGTGCATTGGCTTCCTGGCTCCTGGGATTTGTCCAGCCCTGAGATAGACAGACAGACAGACAGATAGAAAGGACCATTTTTTGATATGCTTCCGCTGTATAAAACATTATCCAGTTGTCAGATGCTCAGCATACATGTATACAATGGTCCCTGTTCTGTCTTTGCTATGACCCCTCTGTTTCTTCCCCATCCTTCCCCGGGATCTAGAAAGAATTGTGTGGAGACCCTCCATCTTCACTAAACATCAATGTGTACCTCACCCCGCTTCCTCCCCGGGATGTTTGTGTTCCTCAGCACTTCCCAATAAACTTACCTTCAGCCATCCTGCTTTCCTCCGTTCCTTAGTACAGGAACTCTGACCTCTTCCACTGCCCACCACCAGGGAGCGCTGTGCTCCAGCTCTAGATGGATCACCTCCCCTCCATCTGTCTCCCTTATATTGGAGTCTGCTTGTGATTTGATCCTAAAGTAACAGTGATGTGCTAGGAAAGACTAAACCATATCTACACTGGTTGCTGGTTACTCATCATCCCCCCCCCCATCCCCCAAAGACAATAAAGATTTCCTCTTATTTTAGAGCACTTTGCATGTTACAATGCTGCATAATGCTGTCACTGGCCAGTAATAATGTTGCAATCTGGAGCTCTTGTCTAGCCGGCAGGGATCCCTAAACTGGTTCAGGAAGAGCAGCAGGAGGAACAGCTCAGGAACACCGGAAGAGCAATTGAGCAGACAATGTGAATTCCTGAACACTACAGGATGTGCAATGATCAATGACCATGGTACTGACGGAAGACAGGAGGCTCAAGATAATGCACAATCCTTGTCTGTATCGAGCCCATCATTAGGTAAAATAGACAAAT